GGAGCATATGACTTATGCAAGTGACAATGCTGAAATGATTGACTACACTGGCCACCACGAATTTCGGACTTAAATAAATAATATAGAAAACTTAAAAAACAAGATACATATTTATAAAAACATAAAAAAAAATGTATGATATATAGTGAATATTTTCTAGACAGGATTTTTTAAATATCCAGATATTATTTTAGTTTATTTTATCGTTTTTTTTTAATTTAGATATTACTTACAGAATTCTGTTCTGAACACCTTAAAATTTACCTTTAAACCATCCTTTTTCCATTTTTGTAGCTGTTTAGCTTTCTTACTAATGAATATAAACAGAAATCATACGTCAAATTCCTTGATTTTTTCACCCAGCGATTTTCGATTCAGACATTTCATTGATTTCCATTGAAGTGAACTCCACCGAGTGGCGTTCAGCTGACACGAGAGCAAAGGTCGCACATTATTAGCGTTGATTTGTGCACTTTGTAAGGTGCCCTGCCCCCGGTCCCCCGGCCACCACACCCCTCTATTCAAGCCAATGCCAAAGGCGAGCTGTCAACGCCTTTTGGTGCCAGCAACTTGCAACTGCAGTTTCAATCAATCAAACGCGAGGCGAAACGGATGTGGACATGCCACTTCACACACGCCACTAAAGCGCCCGAGGTTGGGGTTGTGTTGGCCGAAGGTGTCAACAAAGGTGTGCCACTGCCACAGCTCCAGCAACAGCAACTGCAACAACAAGAACATCAACTGTTTGTGCAACTCCAAGTGCGGAATGAACGAACGGATATGTGGCAAAGTTTCCTGAATGGCATTCTGCTGGTGAAAGGCAATTTAATTGAGGGGCTTCTCGCCGCCCGACGCTGCCTGCTCTGTTTCCATTTCGTTATTAAGCTGAAAATCGGTCCACCGGTTGGCGAACGGAGCAAAAATGTTTGCACACCCAATTTATCATTTCATTTACAGCGCGAAACGCACAAAAATGCAACCGCATTTGGCCAACATTAATCATACGACATGTTGACAGCTGTCAGCGCGTTCGCTCGTTGATTTTGTTGCCACTGCGATGTTGCGATGCTGCTGTGGCCTTTGCTTGGAAATGCTGCAAATTGTTGAGCTCAGTGGCCAATAAACATTTTAATCCACTCTCAAAGGGAACGAGAAATTGCGTTGACCGAGTAAATGAAAGGCATCAAAGAGAAATCCAGCAAAGTAATGGGAGTCTTTTAATAAGATTCATTATCCTTTAATGTTGTTTAAATCATTACATCTTTATAGGTAAATGATTTAATAAAATTATAGTTTAATAGTATTTTCTGTTTAAAAATGTAAATGGATTTTTTTTCGATTTAAACTTGGTTTATTAACCAAAAACATTATATTCCAAAGTATTTTTTCTTCTAGAAAATCTTAATAAAATCTTCACAAAATGTTAAATTAAATAAATAAATATAACAAGTTTAACAAATTAAATTTTCGTTACAAAAAATAATTATAAAAATCCTGGTATAATATTTAGGAAACATTTTTTAGCTATATAAATTCAATTCACCAAATAGAAGTATTATTTGCAAAACTTATGAATTAAATTCAAAAATTTCCACGCTTTTTCCATTATCCATAACCATAATCTGAGAGTTCTTTCATCCCCGGCCGAATGGGATCGTAATAAATCTTTCTGGCACACTACGCCAAATGAACAATGAAGAATAATGAGGCCTGTGCCAAAAAGAAAAGAAATTCTGACTTGTCCACAGTAACTGAACTGGGTGAAGGAGAGATTGAGCGAGTGGCAAAGTACATAATAAGCTCATTAATCATGGGACACACAGAGAACCGGAAGGGAAGTGCGACAGAGGAGAGCAATCATCATCATCCATATGGAGTGACTACTGTGTCACTCAGTTCTCAGCTCCAATCGTGCGAAATGTGGGCTCATTGTGTTTCTGGGGGCGTGTCGTATCTTGCAACAGTTTGATCATTAATTAGCTGGCATTTAATGTTAGATGGCCCCTGTGTGCAACATCATTAATCTCGCTTGAGAGCGAACAAATTGATGCCCCTGGTGCCTGATGTCCGATGCCCGACCGGCCAGTCTTGGCCTGGAACAAATCTAATATACTTCTTTTTTCCGGCATTTCCGTCTGGGGCATTTGTTATTTTGAATTGTTGTAGAATTTTTCACAATTTTCACATTTTTCAACATCCGCCGTGGCGGACCAACAATGGCCAAAGAGCGAGAACCAAACATCATCATCATCAGAAGTCGGGGCAGCATCGTCATGGTCTTCATCTCATTGTCGGCTCTATAATTCGAATCATTTATAACTCGAGAAAAGAATTGGTTTTGGGTAAGGCACTTTTAATACCACGCTTTAATTAGCAAAATAACGATATTACGCTAATAGATTTTAATTAATTAAAATACATTTTTAAGGATTTTTCCTTAAAAAGTCTTAAAAACTAGAAACATTAACATATTCTATCTAAATAATTTTTAAAAATTCTTAAAATAAATAAATTCCTAAATAAAACTGTCAAATTTAATTGCAGGGTATCATCTTACGTCGACCTTAAATGCTCGTTCAAGTGAATGGTGGGTCGGTCATTGGTCCGGACTCCGAACCTCTGATGGCTACCGTCGTAATCTCGGATCCGAGACAGACGCCCGTCCATCTGTCCACCTTCCGTCCGCCTGCAATGTCCACCGAGATTTTTTGATTGATGGCGCGAGTGGCGCACGTTGCAGTTGCTCTTAAAATTTTTATAAATTATAATTTTTCCATCGACTGGCAAACATATTTTTCATGTCATGTCATTCCCCCTGCCACTGCCTGTCCTGCACTCCGATTGATTGATGAAAATGCGAGGCGTGTACGAAATAAAGGAAAGAAATATAATAATAATGATATATCTATGCAAATTACGGCACACAAATTATTAGTTTCGTGTTCTGCGAGGATGACGACGTCGACTCTCGAGTCGGGCGGCGGAATTTCATATTAATTTGCCAGCCATTAATCATCCGACGAGGGGGTGTCGCCGTCGAAGCTTGATTTCTTTCGGGTTGGAGTCAAAGGTGGCAATTCGTTGCTGGGGTGTGCTTAAATTTAAGTGAATTCACGCTGCCTAATTTCAATAATATAGACAACGGAAGTGATTCTTTCAAAAAAATTGATTTGATTAGATAAAGTTTGGTATTAAAAATATAGTAATAAATAAGCAGTTATCTTGATTTTTTAATGTATTCTAGGTTTATAAAATAATTATTAATTTTACTAGATTGTCTGGTGACAACATTTAAATTGATTATTGAATAAAATGCCTTTTAAGTCAATTGTTTGCCATGGTATTTCTACAAGTTAATCTTTGCACAACTTCATTTTGAGGCCCTTATTTTGCCGGCCAGTAAATGGAATTTCTGCCAACAAGCTGCGGCCTGGCAAGCCCCGATATAGTTGGAAAACAAAAACCGAGCTATGCTGCACTTCATCCCAGCCATATTCTCGACTCGACTCCGCTCGAATCCGACTCTGCGGCCAAAGGGCAATAAAAACTATTTACAGTTCAATTTGCTATAATATTTGCAGCTGAAAACCGCAAACGACAAATATGCACCACTGAAGCAAACCAAAGCGAACGAAACCAAACCAAACCAAAACGACAACCACAGACACAGCGACCTTTCCCAACATCATATTCCCACTAGGAAAAGCCTTCGCTTGCGAGATACGCAAATAGCTTAAACTTTTTATGCACAGTAGTCGGGGATGAAAGGGGATATTAGCTTGATAGAAATTCCTAGAGAACCAATAAGTCATCATTCGATAATTAGAAAATACTGATCACAAAATTAAGTGCTTCATGTTTATCAAGCTCTTTATAATGTTTTCTTTAATTGTCCTAAAAATTGTAATAAATACAAACATTAAATATATATTTGTTAAGACATTTTACCCTTTTTAGAGGGTATCTAAGTATCCAAACTCCCGACGTATCAGATTCCAAAGTGTTTAGCATGCGCCAGCGCATTCAAAGTGGAATCAAAGTTTATGCACACGAGGACATTCAGGCGGGCAGGGAATGTTCGTTTGCGTATCTGAAAATCTACAGACAATAATCTAGTGTAGAATAGTGCGGGAGCACCGAAAGGGTTAGGTTGCGTTTGTGTTGCCATTCCGGCCACTCGACACTTTCCATGGCAAAAGTTATGCAACCAATTTACATACAAAAACAACTCAATAAACGTGCGAAATGCTAACGATTTGTAAAAGTTGGAATCCCCCCAACTCGCTCGCTAACACACATGAGTGTATTACGTCCTGTTATTGGTTTTTGTAGCCATTCCACGAGGGCAGGCCCAAAGAGGAGGTTGTTCGGGGGGTCTGGGGGGTTCCACATTCACTGCCCTGGCAATTTAGCAAAGTATTTCCTCGTCGCTCTAAAAAGTTGCCCACTTTTTGTTACACCAACATGAGACGTCCTCATCCTCGTCGTCGTAGTCGTCGTCCCGTCGTAAACTGTGGGCTTATTTTCATGCCCGGAGCCATGAAAACGGAAATTGTGCATGAAAGCTGACTGCTAACCATGCCCCCAAGCCCCCATGCGAATTGCGGGGGCAGCGGAGCACCCACTTACACGAACCTAACTCGATTATTATAATATTCAACTATATAATCCAATGGGAAAGTTTGCTAATAAGCTGCTAGTTGAGTGCCAGTTAACATTGCCAGTTCACCCGGGATTTCAGAAGGACTCAAGGATTGCAGGATGGTTTTATTGTTGTGGATGGGGAATGTGGATGGAGCACAAGGGCGAATGTCTCGAGTCAATTTCAATTTTGCCCACTGAAGGATAATTGCAAATGTATGGCGATTGAACGTTTGATTTTCGCTCTTATTGAGATGATTTGGCTAATCGAATCAGTTAAATTGATTGAATGACAAGTGAGGCTATGAATTATATAAATTTTACATAATAAACCAAGTAAGCGTTATTCTTGGAAGAAGTTTCATATCAACTACAAAAAATTATCAAATTCATTATAACACTATCTGAAGAAAGTCTCTAGGGGAAAAAGGTATTTAAAGGGATATCATTAAAAGCCGTTGTAAAATAAATTCTTATAAGTAAAACATGTCCGAACTACCTCGTCGAATTATCAAGGAGACGCAGCGTCTTCTGGAGGACCCGGTTCCGGGTATTAGTGCCATCCCGGATGAGAATAATGCCCGCTACTTCCGCGTTCAAGTCACTGGACCCCATGATTCGCCCTTCGAGGGCGGGGTTTTTAAGTTGGAACTGTTTCTACCGGAGGATTATCCCATGAAGGCACCCATGGTTCGGTTCCTGACTAAGATCTATCATCCCAATATCGATAGTTTGGGTCGCATATGCTTAGATGTGCTGAAGGACAAATGGAGTCCGGCGCTTCAGATTCGCACCATTCTACTTTCTATTCAGGCCTTGCTAAGTGCCCCAAATCCGGACGATCCACTGGTCAACGATGTGGCTGAGTTATGGAAGGAAAATGAGGAGCAGGCCATACGAAATGCACGGGAGTGGACATTGAGATATGCCATTGGAAAATAACTTCCTTTGATTAAAATCTATTGAAAAAAAATTTCCTCAGATGCCCATTTTAAATCACCATTTAACCGCATTTATTGCGATTTCAAGGCGGAATGTGGTATTAATTAAATTATGTCTAAGAGTAATTGTCGCCCCGCGGCGGGTTGTCTAATTGCAACTAATCACACACACAGATAGCCACAAGTGCCGCAGCAACAAATAAGGCATCGCAGCGACTTTCACTAAACACGAGCGATGTGGCATGAAAAATGACTCTGGTCCAGTATACCAGCGCCATACAAAAGCGACTGCTAACGGTATTTAATGACACATGAAGTCGTCAATCACTCAGTAAATCTCGACATGTCGCCCGTACCGAAAGTCTCTTTGCCGGCCGGCCGGCTACCCCCGCAACTCGAGAACCCAAAACAAAATAAAATACAATAAAATACCCCAGCGATGCCAGGCGAGTCAAAAGCGAAACGAAAAACGCTCCCGGTAGCAACACAATTTGACAGCCGCCTGACAGTTTAAATTAATTGATTTATATGGGGTGCCTGGAACGGAAAGTGGACACTGCTCGGAGGTTAGGGAGTGGCGCTTTCGCTTAATCGCCCCCCAAAACAAAGGGAACTAAAATACGCTTGAACCGACTAACAGATACTTAGTAACCGAACAAAAAAAATAATAACGATACTTGATTTCACGATAAAATGTTATTATTAAGTAAATAAATACCGATTATTAGATCATACATCTCGTCAAAACAACCTACTGTTCGATGATACCTCATAATCTTTCCATTACCCGGTATTTAAGTATTCTGATATGGACTTTCAAGTCACTGAATGTCATTGCATTTTCATATCACTCGGGAGCCTATCAAGACCCCCATTTGGGGGCTACCCTGTGTTTACGATCGTGTCAAATGTGCCCAAGTACTTGCCACTTCCCGAGAAGAACCGTCGAGACACCTGCCACACTCTATAGTTTATATGCTCAATCTATCAGCGGAGCTCCGATCTTGCAGTGTCCGATTTATAGACAGTGTAATAACATTATCGATTCGGTTAATTATATGATAAATAGTGTGCGCCCTGGCGGGGAATTCGACGATTATCTCGAGGGTTGCTCAAGTGTCTGGCGCATAAATCAGGGAAGCTGTCACGCGAATTGACCCGGCCACGGACGCAGTCGCGCCACTTGACTGATGATGTCTTGGCCCCGATGCGATGCGATCCGTTGGCCATCGATCTCTAGCGGGGGATCTCTTGCTTTGCATTTCACTTTCCGACTTTTGTCGCCGCCACTTACAGATGCGTCAAAACTAACAAGATCGATGGCATGGAAACGCCATAAGGCGTCGATCGCCGATCAGCGATCAAGTGATCATTGATGTCTACGACGGAGCTCGGTATCTCTGGGGTAAACTCGTGGCGTCTTTGATTTCGAGTCTTTATGGTGTCGCGACGGCGCTTGATTGATGCCTTGATGAGGTATAACCAAAAGAAAAGGAAAGCCGCTATGAATTATGGGGGGTACTTACAAAACGAAATATCGTGTGGTTTATACCAAGTCGAATTGTGAAGAGAAATATTTTTTATGTAATTATTTGTTACTATATTATTATTTTTATTATTATTAGTATTTAAATTCTGGTTTGCCAATTCCCAAAAACCTTTCTTACTTTAGATATATAGTAATTATAGATAATAATTATGGAACCTTCTTAATCCCTCCATACTATAAAAATCAAAATTTTACTAAGAATAATTTCTTTCATTATTAAAAATTACAAAAATCCTTATCGATTTTAAAAGTAACTCTAATGTTTTAAACCAGCTAATGGAAACCTTTTTTATTCCTAAAATAATCTCGCCTTAAATTCGCAAAAATACAATATTGATGTAGCTCAGAGTGCTAACAAAACAAATCCTCAATTCATTTGATTTTTATTGGCGCACAGATTTTATTCGTCTAGCTAAGGACTCGCACCTACCATCCCCTTCACTTTACTTATCTCAGCATCCACTTCTGTTACAACTTCATTTGAGCAAATCTCTATAATCCCATCTGATTCCGATGGCACAAAACAAACTTTGCCGGTCCCTCAGACGGCAAATAACTCTTTTTCGCAGCCAGGGCGAACAATCCAATCCTTGGGCCGTCGTCGTCTCGTCCCCGTTAATCCCGCTCGTAAGCATTTTGTCACATTTCAAAATCATTTATCAAGAGCTTTCACAACAGCAACCCTCACGCCCCGAGCCGATCCGCATCCGCATCCGAATATACGAATATCCGAATATGAACCCCATTCACATCGCATCTCTGTCACTGCACTGACAGTTGTGCACATTAATTTTTCAACACAGACTTTGGGAAATTTGTTCGGGCCACAAATTTCTCGATGCCATGAGATGCGATGCGATGCTCAATGGGAGACGACGAATAAAATACAAAATAAACATCTCTCTTTGTGTATTTGTATCTCAGCTCGCAGCGCTGAGCGCTGAGCTCTCTGCATCTTTCGGTTTGCAGTTTTGTGTGTGCGCCTCGCCGGGCTAAAGTAATTTTTCATATCATAAATTTTCAAGTCAGTTAATCCCACACGCGGCGTTCGTTGTCGGCTTCTTGCACTCTCTCTTCTCTGGGTTTTATTTATGCCTTCCGCCAGATTCTCCATCTCCGCAGCTGATGGCAGCTGTGACACTTTGACATTTCAGTGATAATTCATACTTTTGCATGTCATACTTAATTATGGCAACAGACTGTGTGGGTCTTTTATCATATTTAATTTCGGTCTCTTGCATTTCTTCTGTCAGGCACATCATTATTGCTCTCTTAGGCCGCCGCCGCCTTCTAGGTTTTTCGGAACTGGGAACTCAAGACCCCAAATCCCATTCCCAATCCAGAGACCCGGCTCAGTTCACTAATTACTCGACAGACATTTCCCAATCGTCTTCAAACTTAATTTATCACCTCGGCTCTCTTGGCTTCGCCACGGATGATTAATACATTTCTACGCTCCTCTGGCACACAAAATGACATAGAATATGTTTCGAAAAAGGGTTTTTGTTTTCGGCTCGGTTTTTCATATGCCAAACACATCAATCATCGGGCAGAGTCGGTGAAAAGGGGGGAGCTGTTGTCCCAGGGGCTGGGGCTCAGAGCAAAAATCAAATTTCCAGCAAAATCAGCTTAGCGATTCTGAAATTAGTGGACATGTCAACAGGCGAGGCAGGGGAGCATGAGGATTTGAGCCTAAAACCACAGAGAGCATCTGCAATCGTATTAAAAGTTCATTCCCTATCTTAAAGGTTTAAGATAAAAATGAATTTAAATAAATAAAGCAATGGAAAAAATATTTAAAATATCAAATAAGTTTTAAACTTTAAATATTAGTTAAAAAATTATTTTAATAGCTAATTATTTTTTAAATTTATTTTTTGTATTTATTATTTGTTAATTTATTATTTTACATTTTTTCCCTCAAAAACATTTCCATAAACATAAGAAATAGGACTGGTTTTCTTTTACCTATTTTTTCATAATTACTTATATTTATTCTTAACTCCTTTAGATATCTTAGAAAATTGCAAGGACCTGTACGGAGTCCTCAAGAGAGGGTATCTTGACTTCGCACAACCCAATCAAGTTTCCGCCTCTACTCGGTGTGGCTGCCATCTCGCTGAGTGATGTGCGGCCATCAATCTAAACTCATCATTTTGAAGGCGCGCTGTCAGCCATAATGACCGAGGCCAGGGCAAAAAACTATATAGAAAAATGTCTGACGAGACTCACACGATGATGGGGCGAGGGGAGGGGCTTTCAAAGGGGGTGGCAGGGGGAAAGGAGTGCAGGGGAAGAGGCTAACTGCGATGGGTCACACAATTCCGCACACAGAGTCGTCAATCATAATTTATAAATTGCCATGCCAACTGATGTGTGTCTTTGTGTGTGTGCGGGGGTGTGAGGATGGAAATCCACATCTATTCGAGTTGTGTTTTTCGCCTTTGTACTCGACTGTGTTTTCTTGCGCCTGTGCCATATCCAACTAATTATTCAACGTCTCATTAAACAAATAAATGTGTCAGAGAAACATTTGTTTCCCATACATCACGGGCCAAAGCGAAGGCCGCCAAATCACGTCATGTGAAAATGACAAATCAAATGAGATTAACACTTAATTTCGTTCTGAAAGACGAAAACAGAAATAGAGTGAAATATTTCACCGCTCGGTGCGCATTCTTCGCTCGGAGCCAGTGCCTCCAGCCAAGCGTTCTTGATAGATGTGAGTGCTGCGCATATTTCAGGGGAAATCACCTGACAGCCGGCCATATGGGCCGTGAAATTAAAAACCATAATTAAAATGTTCCCCGAAGACTGTGGAGGCCTTGCCAATGAATCACGCGTTGAAAGGCATTCCGCTGGGGATTAAGATGCCGATCCCTGCGGCATATGCGAAAAACTCAAGACAATAAGGTGTCATATAAAAAAAATGGATTCTACAATGAAAAAAAAATAATATTTAATATCTGACAATTTATTTACAATTTTAAAAATGCTATTCAAGAGATTTTAAATTTCTACTTTGTATGCAAATAGTTTCTAATTGATATATGAGCATTTTCGGACTGTCAATCCAATTCTTTTCGCACTCTTCAATCTATTACTTGATGCCATTGTGTCGACGGCTATTGGACATTTAAAGGCTCCGCAGCTGGGTTTTCTTGTCACCTCCCATTGGCCTTATCACATGCCACATTCCCAGTGCCAGACTGCAGAAACAGTTGATGCTCGTCGTGCAATTTATTGAGCACATCAATCAATGTGGCAATTCCATTTGAGTACTCCCCCCGTTGTTGTTGTGATTCTCCGCAAATAATTGCACATTGCACATGCCTGTCAATGGGTGTGGTCAGTGCAAGAGCCAGTGGAAGAGGAAGACTCGCCGGCAATCGTCACTCTAAAGATGGGCAAAACAAAAACAGGTCAATCATCGATCATGGTCATCACCATCATCAGCAACCAAGCCGACGAGCCACATCCTCGTCGCCTCATTATTGATGAGCCCGGAGCACAGACACACTAGTCAGTGAT